CGCGCGCAAATAACGATCAGTCCCACACACTGTGAAGGGGTACTACTGCAGTGGAAACGCAAAGCGAGCCGAACTGTTTCGCGCTGAGTCGAAGCGTACTGGGCCGAACCGTACCGTACTATGCAGTGGAAAAGCGCCTTTAGAGCACAGTTCAATATAAGGATGAGGAGACAGCTGAGCAGGTTTAGATGATATATATTAACATAAGATCAGTCCACAGAGGTACAGGTGTGTTACAGGTGTTACAAGCAGTAGAGGAATTAGTCTGGAAAACAAGAAATACCATAAAAGGATAGTGAATAACAAGGTTAAACTGGGCATATACAATATTACACATCCATTGGTGCATACAGGCAGCCAAAGCAGACTAAATCCTCATCAGTAACATTTCTCCATAGAATACAATTCGATAAAGGAAAATAAGGCATGATGTTGTGAATTATAGACTATAAGCAACCATTTAAGAAGATAAACATAGCTCCATATAGGCCAATGAATAAGAGCACACAAGTTTACATCACTCATCTAACAGCTCAGAATCTTAAATTATTATTACAAAGGAATGATAAATTCCCATAAAAAAACCCAAGACAGTGATACACATCTGAATAAAGAAGTATAATCACATATACAACCGCATTACTGAGCTAAACTAAGAGAAACAATAGCTGAGGGCATGTCTGGACATGCGCCCATGAGGCAGTGATAAATAACTAAACATTTCGATCTCTATAAACTATACAAACTCTATAAACTGAAACATAAGGCAAACATGCTTACTTGTAGGTCAATGACTAACAACTCAATGAAACATAAGCAAACATCACAGGTAACAATGTCCCCCCAGCGATCGATGCAACATAACCGTTCAGCAGGCAGCAGCTATTTCACTCACGAGTGCTCAGTCCGAGAATGATTTCCGATGTCAGAATAAAAGTCCTCTCTTAAAGGAGCCTTTACAACAGCCGCCCCCAAAGATGAGAAGCATCTTTGTATTCAGGAAAGGCGACTATTAATGAGGGCTAGGTACTCCAGGATCTTCTGAAGGTAAGGATGGTAAGACAACCAAACGGCAACTGGTCTGGTGATATTTTACCCTTCATCTGCACATCTGCTGATCTGATATGGCCATCGGGACTCAGGTGTGTCTGAATTACTTCACCAACAGGCCATAAACCTCGGGGTAACTGAGGGTCTACGATCATCACGTAAGTATGCTCTTGGAGGTCAGGTGGCGAAGCTTGCCATTTTTGCCTGGTCTGCAGAGTGGGAAGGTAATCACGGATGAATCTGGACCAGAATTGATCCGCCAGAATCTGGGAATGTCTCCATCTTCTGCGACTCAACATTTCAGATTCAGGATAGATGACCTGTGGCAACGATCCATCAGGCCGCCCCATAAGGAGACTACTTGGGGTCACAGGATCAATATCGGCCACATCCGAGGATACATAACCTAAGGGTTTTGAGTTAAGGATGGCCTCGACTTCCAACAAAGTTGTCATTAAGACCTCCTCAGGAACCGACTGGGAACCCAAAACAGTATACAGAGCGGACTTGACAGATCTCACTTCTCTCTCCCAAACCCCACCAAAATGAAGGGCTGCTGGGGGATTAAAGCAGAAGTGGATTTTCTGACGAGCAAGATGACGCAGTAGGTCTGGAGCTAAGGCAGCATATGCTTCTCGCAACTCACGCTCGCCTCCTCGAAAGTTAATCCCTCGATCTGACAATAATTGGGTGGGGGTGCCTCTCCTAGCGATGAACCTCCTAAGGGCCATAAGGAAGGAATCAGTACTCAGGCTAGGGAGTAAATCCAGGTGTACTGCCCTTGTGGTGAGACACTTAAAGAGAATACCCCACCGCTTCTCAGTACGTCTTCCAACTTTGATCAGGAAAGGTCCAAAGCAATACATGCCACACGAATGAAAGGCGGGCTTGTAAAGCTGAAGATGGGCAGAGGGTAAATTAGACATCTGAGGCACCGAAGGCTGGGATCTACAATATTCCGGACAGGTTCGCTGAAACCCTCGAACAGCTTCCCGGCCTCTCAGGATCCAATAAGTCCTCCTTATTTCAGCAAACAGCCGTTCTGGTCCAGGATAATGCAGCTGATTGTCGTAATGACGGACGATCAGGCGAGTAACTGGATGCTTAAGGTCTAGGACTACAGGATAGAGAACAGAATCCGCAAGGTCAGCCACTCTCCTCAAACGACCACCCACTCTAATCAAGCCAGCCGAAGGATCAATCTCTGGTGCCAGGGCGACTAGACGGCTACTAAGTTTAACTGGCTTCCTAGATTGTAACAGATGGTAATCTTCTGGGAAGGATTCCTGTTGGACCTGTTTAAGGACATGGGCCTCAGCTCGATGATAATCTGCAGCTTCTGGACCAGTGTCATTAACCGGGTCAATTTGAAGTTCTCGGGCAGTGGTGTCCAGTAGGTCTAACCAGGTAGGATAATTCCATCTATCTGTGTGGCTACAGGTGGTAGATGAGGCAACAACTCCACAAAAGGTTGACTTCCGCAACTCTGATGGATCAACTCTGCCATTCTCTAGGGTTAAGGAGGAGGAAAGGGGGTCCTTGGTAGGGCTGAAACGATTCCTCGAGTTACTCGATTACAAAAATTCCTCGAGGCAAAAAATCTGCCTCGAAGCCTCGTTAAATTCCTATGACGCGCACTTTACGCGGGATCTGATTGTTTCACACGGACCGTTATTCAGGAAGCACACCATAGTGCATGATACATTTGACTTCATAAATGGCAGAGAATGTCTAAAGTTTGGGATCATTATATGTTTATAAAGGGAGAGAACAAGATGCAATGTGTCTGCAAAGTATACCTGGCAGGGCTGCCAACTCTCACGCATTCAGCGTGAGACTTGCGCAATTCGATTTCTCACGCTGAAGTGTCAATCCCTTCGGTCAAATGCCTGAAAGATGAGTTCGTCTATAGATCTACCTGTTGAGCCACTTGTGATCGACTAGTTTTACCGCCGCATATTAATTCGCAAGTTAAAATATCCTGTAATCTAGTGCGAATGCGCATGCGAGATGTTGAGCTCCTAACCGCGGCTCGCGCACAACGGCAGAGAGGTAAGCAAGCGCGTGCACCCTCTCTCACCCGCCAGTCAGACCAATTGCGGCAATTCATCATATGCTTAAACTTTTATGTAGCCACGCAACAAAAATTTCAGCATACATTCACCGGGACATGATGGAGGAACAAATATTGTGAGACACATAGACACACACACTCTGATGTTTGTCTTGAGATTACAGTTGAAAAAGTCTGATTCTTATTTATCATTGTTTTATTTCCTTTTATTTTTTTTAATAAATTGTACACATTTGTGTACCTGTTTGGGTTGATATTTTATATTAATTTATTTTTGTTTCCAGGTGGGTAATTTGCAGAAGGTGCAATCCTTTTTTTGTAATGTTGTATTAAGAAGACAAAACTAAGGCCAAATGGGCTTTACTATTTAAGTTTGTATTCAAAGTTTTACATGTTATGGGCTACATGTAACATGTTTTACAGTACATTGTTTTAACTGTATTGTTATATAATTGTTGGCACTGGCACTTATAAACACTAAATGGGTAAAAATTGCAATAATTAGTTGTGGACTGGAGCCAAATGTTGCAGTTAGAATAAATACCTCTATTTTTTAAAAGAAATAAAAGCCAAACACCTTATCATTTTCGTAATACATTATTTGTTTTGGTTGCTTAAAAAAACACATAAACAAATTATCCGATTATTCGATTAATCGATCGATTAAGTGCTAGATTAATCGATTACAAAAAGAATCGATAGCTGCAGCCCTAGTCCTTGGGACCATCGGTTTGGGCTGGCAAGGTAAGAAAGTGATCTCCCTCTTGTTAGGTCATCAGCCGGGTTATTGGCGGAGCTAACATAACGCCAAGTGCACTGACCAGTAAGCTCCTCGATCTCAGCAATCCTATTGCCAACGAAAACTCGATAGCGACAGGATTCAGACCTCAACCATTGAAGAACCATAGTAGAATCGGTCCACAGCACGGTAGACTGTATTGTCAAGGTCAATTCGTTGGACAGCAACTTCGCAAGCTGGGCTGCAACTAAGCTCCCACAGAGCTCCAATCTGGGTATAGAATGTACTTTCTTGGGTGTAACACGGGAACGAGCGATAAGGAAGGACAGGTAGGTCTGACCTGCAGGATCAATGATACGTAGGTACACTACGGCTCCGTAGGCTTGCTCCGATGCATCGGAAAAAACATGGACTTCATGAGTAACTCCTCCAATCAACTTCAGGAGGGACATAAGGACGAGGAAGAGAAACGCTTGGAAGGTAGCGAAGTTCTTCTTCCCACTGTGTCCAGTAGGGGTGGGTATTGGCAAGGACTTCACGATACGATACGCATCACGATACATGGATCACGATACGATTTCATCACGATACATCACGATACGATAAATATTGCGATATTCCACACAGTTAACTAAAAATGTAAAACCAAAATAAAATACAAGTTACGGTGTGCCATCTGAGTAGTCTTACATCAGATCATATTGATAAATCAGCAGAAGAATTGAGTCAAAACAATTTAATACAGAATTTTCTTTCCAATTTATTTTTGAGCTGCCATAACAAAATAGATTTGAACTTTAAACAATGGACACACTTTTAACAATGGCCACATTAAAAACGTTAAAATAAAGTGCATTAGATATTTAAAACTAAATTAAAGTTTAGTGCACACTGCACAGTTAAGTTAACTCACTGAGGTTATGTGGGGCTGAACTTGAAAAAACAAAACAAAACATGGAAATAAAGTGCAGATACTCAGGTACTGTCCATGTAAACAATGAAGTGAAATATTATAAACAACGTTAATAAAACTAAAATAGTCAGTGTGATGTAACCATAAATACAACAAATGATTTTTGCATGTGTGTCCATTAAACGTTTATATGAACACTTAAACGCATTGGTTCCATGGCAGGCCTATTTTGACTTCAGATTTTTGTTTAGGAACAGAATCTGATCAACATGTTCTGGGGTAAGTGCACTCCTCTGAGCTGTAATAATGTCCCCTGCAGTAGAGAACACTCTCTCTGAGGGCACACTAGTCCCCGGAATACACAGGTATTTCTTTGCCATGTGTGACAAGAAAGGATACTTGCTCTGATTCCCTTTCCACCAGTCTAGTGGATTGACAACACCAAGCGGCAAGGGAGCATCCTCTTTGTATCTAGAAATCTCCTCCTTGGCCTGGTCCTCTGCAGTTTTCCATTTCTTTGCAGGTGCTGTAGCATATGTTGGACCAAGTAGGTCAGCTAGAGAATGCCTGGATCTCTTGGATGGTACAGCAGACATGTCTTTTTGCACAGGATCTTGATTGCCTTCCTCATCCTCTTCTGGCACCACATTCACATCAGTCTCTGTCTCAACTGAGTCCACTCCAAGCTCATTCTGCTGAAAAACAGCAAAGTAAATTAAACATTAGCTTTAGAGAAAAGGTATATAAAGGGATAGTTCACCCAAAAATTAAAATTATGTCATTATTTACTTACTCTCAAGTTGTTTCAAACCTGTATGAATTCTTTTCTTCTGCTGAACACAAAAGAAGATATTTTGAATAATGACAGTAACCAGACAGTTGATGGGCCCCATTGACTTATATAGTAGGGAGAAAAAAAATACTATAAGTCAATGGGGTCCATCAACTGTCTGGTTACTGACATTATTCAAAATATCTTCTTTTGTGTTCACAGCACAAGAAAGAAATGCATACAGGTTTGAAACAACATGAGGGTATTTAATTCCAGTACAATGAAATAATTAAATGTATCAAACTACACTATATACACTTACACTATACTATAGGCCGAGATGTTTGCCTATCTTTTACTGGTATATGATTTTAATACTGAAAATTTGAATGATTACTTATAAATGTAGATAAATCTTGACAAGACAACAGTATGTTTTATGATATGGCATTGTTTATCTTACCTGTAATGCTTTGCACCCTGTAGCTTCTGCAAGGATTGTAGCATAGATGTCCTGGCGTTGGTCTTCTGACAGGAAGGGCAGGGCCTTAAATCTCGGATCCATAGCGGTGGCCACATAAAGCGTCTCCTTGTTCAAGTACCTCTTTTTGAGATCCTGGCACATGGCAGATTTTATTTCCTTCACTAAGTTGGAATCTGTTGGGCTGTCTTGTAGGTCATGGGTCAGCTGGGCAAGGAGTGGTGCTACAACTGAAAGTGTTGGAGTGGTCTCTTCTGACATGACTAGTGTAGCTACCTTCATGGGCTTCATAGCAGTGACCACTTCTTCAGCAGCTGTTATGTCTGCCTCACTGAGGGTGCAGAGGTCCTTCTCTTTCTTCCTCACCTCAGCTGAGAGGAGGGCAGCATGGATGGCTGGCTGCTGTTCTAGGAAGCGCTGCAGCATGTCGTGTGCACTATTCCATCTGGTGACTACGTCAGTGAGCAGTTTGTGGTGAGGCAGATTTAGAAGTTTTTGTTTTTCCCGCAGTACATGGCTGGCTATGGTACTGCGTCTGAAAAAGTTAGTTATTCTTCTCACTCTTCCCAGCAAACGCGCGACTGGTGTTAGTTGAAGTGCGCGCTGTGAAGCCAAATTCAAAGTATGCGCAAAACATTTAATATGCAGCATACCAGCTAGCTGCGCTGCAACGGTCATGTTCGACGCGTTGTCAGTGACAACCGCGGGGTCCTTGCTTTTTATATCCCATTCCTCTAATGCATCTTCCAACACCTCGGCGATGTTACTACCAGTATGGCTCTCATGCATTGCCCTCGTCTGCAAAACATGAGAAATCAGTTCCCAATTCTCATTGATGTAGTGCGCCGTGAAGATCGCCCTCGATGTCCAGCCATCGGATGTTAAGGCCACTCTTTCTGCTGAGCCTAGAGATGCTTTTACAGCTTGCTTCACCTCTTCATACATCCTGGGCACAGCTACCTCGGTAATGTGTTTGCGAGTCGGGATCACATAGCGCGGCTCCATTGTGTTTACCATATACCTCAAGCCATGGTTGTCAACGACACTGTATGGCCGCAAATCATGACAAATGAAATGCACCAACGACTCCGTTATTTTTAAAGCTCGAGCTGAGTTAGATGGAAGTTTGTTATGCAGTGTAGTCTGCTTCTGGTCGTCAGGTTTCGGTTGCTTCTCTTTCAACATAATTTCTGCATGACGTCTGACGAGATGCGTTCGTAAATTAGTTGTGTTACCTGAATATTTGATAGCAGCGTGACAAAGCTTGCATATTGCGTTCGTTTTATCCAAGTCCAATCTCCCTGGTTTGTTTTTAAAACCGAAGTGCACCCACACATCGGCTTTATATTGCGAAGGGGCCGAAGCAATTTTGTCGGCTGCGTCTGCCATGTCGCTTGCAGCTTTCACTACTGAAATTGGCGCTCTATGGTGCCCGCCCAGGCACCCACGGCCACACCCAGGACAGCAAGTTGAAGGAAACTAAAGCTGCCATAATGCGACATCTACAGGAATGGATGTTATAGTTCACCAGGTCACACCCCGTTTAAAACGTGATTATTTTTTTTTTGTTACATCGATTTTTTGAGCTGGAAATCGATGTTGTATATCATGAATATAAAAATCGCGATATATTGCTGTATCGATTTTTTAGCACACCCCTAGTGTCCAGGAGTGAAACAGGTCAGGGGGTAGGTTAGGATCATCCCACTTTCTCTGCTGGTTCCAAAGGTGCTTGACGATCACTTTCGCACGGGTGATGTAAGGAAGGAGCAATGCCAAAGGGTCATATTGTGTAGCAAGGACCCTATAAATATTCTGCAAGGTAGGGGCCTCATAGTCCACAGGTCGGTGTTTATAGGACAAGGTATCTGACTGCCAATTCCAACTTAAACCTAACGTGGACTCAGGGACATCAGATTTCTCCTGGGTCAGCCACAACTCCACACTAGTAGCCCGAGCCTCAGGAGGTAGGTGACTCAATACAGCAGGATTGTTACAGGCCCACTGCCGGATCTCGAATCCACAGTCGGAAAGGATGGTACGCAGGCGATCGATCAGACTACGGGCTGCGTCAGCAGTAGGGATGCTCTGGAGGCAATTATCAACATAAAAACACCTCTCTACAGAGAAACGGATCTCCTCATCGGTCAAGGGGTGCTGACGGGTGTGGCGCTGAAGTGCATAGACAGCACAACAGGAACTGGAGGTGGAACCAAAAGGTAGGACTAACCACTCAAAGGTCTGAGGAGCCTCCTCCATCTGCAGTTCTCGCCTAAAGAACGATCTTCCGGCAGAAGACGAACCTGGTGGAACAGTGCCTTTATGTCTCCACTTAGAGCTACAGAATGTTCTCGGAAACGAAGGAAGACACCCAACAACGAGGCTCCAAGAGTAGGTCCGGGCAACAAGTGCTGGTTAAGACTCTGACCTCTGTACTGATGTGAACAATTAAAGATGATCCGGGACTTTCCATTGTGGCTCACAAGGTGGTGAGGAATGTACCAACACTCAGGGGTATCAGGAACAGGATCAGGAACTACCTGGACAGCTCCGCTCTCTTGGAGTTTATTTATGTCTGTTCGATAGATCTCTGCTTTCCCAGGATCCTTCAACAGGCGTCGCTCCCCACTGCGGAGGGTAGGCAAGACTGAATCTCTTGGAGCCTTCAACACTGGCATGTCTCGGCGACGAAGCAGGGGAGTGGCGAGGTGATGAACACCTTCAATCTCTTGAGTAATGGTCTTAAGGTCAAGCAGCTGCAAGGCTTCATGATCTTGCTTGGAACGTGTAACTTCGTTACTCTCAAGGTAAGGAATTGTATCCAACTGCCACAATCTCTGAACGTGTTGAATGAGTTCATCTTGGACAGGAACCAAAGAGGTGAGTAAACACTGAGAAGGTGTGGAAGGATAACCTGTAGAAGGAACAGGACCCTGAAGTGTCTATCCCAAGTTGGTACGAACAGCGACTGGCACTCCCGGGCCGCCCCATCGAACAGGCTCAGTGGGTGTTATAAGGTGAGGCTGGTCAGAACCAATAAGGAGCAATAGCTGGACATCGGTAAGGGTGCGTATGGGAAGTCCTCTCAAGTGTCTGTACTTCCGTTTCAACTGCTCCACAGGGTAGGACTGGCGTGACAGGTTGAGGCGATCAGCAGTAAAGGCATGACTAATCTGATAACTAACCTGCGGTCGGTAGACAGGAGAAAGCTGGAAGAATATGGAACAACCTCGAATGACCTGAACTTCATCCCTGACAGTCCGTAACGGCAGATCTTCAGGAACACCCTGAATGCCCAGGGCTTTAACAGCAGTGGAAAGTAGGATTGTTCACTCCGATCCGTCATCCAGAAGGGCAAAGGTATCTAAGGTGCGTTCTTCATAATGCAGACGCACTGGGACCACCTTGAGCATAACTCGGCTGCTAATGGAAGGTTTATCGCAGAAGAACCTGTCTGAGGAGAAATTCGTAAGGCAACTATTCTCCACAATGGTAGGATCCTCTGTAGAGAAAGGACCGACATTTACATCATGTAGGGGGCAAAGATGTAAGCCATGGCAAAGACTACAGGGCTTCTTCAGGTCACATCGAGCAGCATGGTGAGATCTGGCACAACGCCAACAACGATTGTGCTTATGGATCCAGGTCTTAACTTGATCAGGGGTGAGCTGGGTAAAGGAAGCACACTGACTCAAGTAATGCTCAGATGTGTCACAGAAAGGGCAATAGCACTTCGCTTTAACAGGCTTGACTGGCTGAACGGAACCCCTACGAGTTGGGGAAGGCTCAACTGAGGAAGGTGACAGAGATGAAGAGGTTCCAACTCCATGCAGGATAGCAACGGATCTCTTGCCAGCATGTGAGCTCTTAGATATACCCTCTACGTCGAAACTATGACACCAGGTCTCATAACGAAGCCAATTAGAGAGATCAATGAGGTTAGGATTAGCACCAGGTTCACGAAACATATGGCGACGGAAATCCGCTCTCTGCTCTGGGGGAAGCTTACTCAGAAGGTGTGCGACGTGGAAACCACAGCTCAACTCCAACTCCCCTTCATGTCCTAAAGTTCTCAACAAGCCGACTAGCGACTGGACTTTGAGAGCGAATTTCTGAAAGGCTGGGACATCCCCTCGTCTAACATCAGGACTATCAAGGACACTAGCTATCCTCCTCAAAGCTAACTGATGTGGCTGACCATATTTTTCACAAAGCGCTGACATAGTATCCCTGAAGGGGGTGGGTGAATTCAAATAAGCATCAGCGATCATCTTAGCTTCCTCGAGCTTGAGGTGATCTACTAAGATCTGGTACTGAAACAGCTCCGTTCCATCTGGGGGTAACAGGTTCTCCAAAGCTATACGAAGACGGGTGAACTCACTAGGATCTGGACGAGTAAATTTAGGGATTGTAGGAGGGGGGCCACGATACACGGACTCTGACTTTGGCTCTGTCTGAGGAAGGGGAAGCCGGTGACTAGGATAAGCAGGCGCCGGCTGGTGATGGGCAGTCAAGGGCATGGCGCTAGGGGTGAGCATCTCTCTAAGGTCCTGAGGAGTAGGAGGCGGAGGGAACTCATCAGCCTCTGGAACACTAGGCCGAGATGGGCATAAACGAGTAGTGGTGTGCTCAAAGGGATACTGCTGAGACTCTGATACCACAGGCCGATAAGAAGTGGCTGCGTCGTACAAATCCAGATTACCAAACTGTCTAGTTAAGGCTACCTCAGGCTCAGGCCAAGGCGGCGGAGGAAGATCAGGGAAAGGACCACCATCGACTCCAGGAGTTGACATACAGGGTTGCACTGAAGGATTAAACTGCCATGGGTGCCCTGGGGATGACGGTTGGCCTCTGGCTTGGCCAAGGTCTGATCAAAAGGACTGGGCTGCTAGGACTAACTCGCGAACTTCGGCCTGAACTGCTCTCAACTCTCTCAGGTCATCTCGGAAGGCTGCACGCTCTTGGCGCAGGTGCTGTAGCTCGCTAAGATGGGCGTAAACAACTGAATCAGCCGCTGAAGGTGAGGAATGAGGAGGGCACACAGTAGGCTGAGTAGACTGATGTCTGTATGACCAGCTCTGCAAGCCATCCGGATGGACACGGCTATCATTAGGAGGGGTAACCCCTGGCTGAAAGGACAGGGACCAAGGTGGGACTGGCACCTTTGCATGTCTGGGTCCACCTCTGGGAAACTGCACCTATATACATATTGCTCTAGGTAGTAGTGTTGCACGGTGCACCGATACTTCAAAAGTATCATTCTCGGAAATTAAAAACCTCACGATACCTAAATTAATTAGTATTGATACTTTTATGAATGACCGCGACCCAGATTTGTAAGAGACGTAGGCCTATTTCATGTTGGTGTGTGCCACGCACGCTTCCAGTCTCTCCCTATGAACGTCTGTGTTTCTCCTCACGCACGCAGCAAAGAAGCTGCAGCTGTCACACTACCACGAGACGGCTGCATGCGCGAGCACACGTGATACAGTGGCCGCCTGTCAGTAGCGGAGTGACAATCAGGAGAGTCGGATCTTTTCCCGGTGGGCCGGTGGTGTTTCGAGGCCGCGAGGGCCGGTCTGCAGAAGAAGTTGCAAGTTATTAGCAACACAATCCAGAGGTCTCTGCAACGGCGATAGTTTGAAGTGCGCGTCCGTGAAGAAGTTGCGTGACTGCGCCAGCCGCAAAAGACACTGTATCCAACTGATAGCAGCGAAAAAGAGCGGTGCTTGATTTAAAAAAAAAAAAAAAAAAAAAAAAAAAAAAAACGATTTTAATGCTAGATCTCTTATTTAATAGTGAACTAAATGAATTATCTGCTAGTTAACTGGAGAAGGAGTTTCATTTATTTTTGTATTAGGTGTACAACTTTCCCCTCAACTTTCATAGATAGCATAAATAATTTGCAAGCTGCTAAAATAAAGGATACAAAACATCAGCCAAATGATCTATCGGCTATATGATTATAATCAGAGCATGTGCATGTCAGTGATTTATTTATATTA